AATTCTCTGCTGGAGGAGGTGGCTCCACTCGCTCCTCTTCAGTTGGAAGAGGTGGCTGCCTTGGCTGCTGCTCGTCTGGCAGAGGAGGCTGATCATCATCAGAAGGAACTGGATGAATCTCCACTTCTGGAATTGGTTGGCTCTCATCCACTCCAGCTCCTTCCACTCCTGCCTCCACCTTATCTTCCTCTACCTCTGCCCCTCCTTCTTCCACTGCCACGAACTCGAAGTCAAAGTTCGGAGGGAAAATAGTGCGTCCATCAGCATCGTGCTCCCACTTCAGTTTGATTTCTGGGCGGAAGTCTGCTGACATACTTTCACCATCTTCCTCCACTCCAGCTTCTTGCTCTCTAAAGGTTATCCTTGTCACATCCACTTCGGGATAGATAGTCTTCACCTTCTTTCTGCAGTCCGTGAAGGCAATGATGGCAGTTGGCAATCGGTAGAGGTTGACGATGTTGTCAAACGAGCTAGAGCTGATGAAGTTGCTGATGTGCTCCTTCATCCCGTTGTGCACCAAGGTTTGCACATTCCCCTTCAGCTCCAAGAAGGCCTCCTTTGTCAGTTTCAACTCTTGCGCCAGAGCCTCACGCTCGCTTTCAGAGATCTTTTGCTTGGTCTCTTCAAAGCCGAGCTTCGTGCCCAGGGAAGCCCTCTCCTGTTCCAACTGCTTCAGAGTTGGCACCACCTCGTCCAGTGACCCTTGTAGCTCCTTTTTCTTCTTCTCCAGCTCTTCCTTCTCCTTTCGCAGCTGGTCACATTGCCTCTGCAAGAGTACGCGCTCCTTTGTACTCTCTCTGAACTCATGGGCTAGGCCATTCACCCAGCTCGCGCACTGCAAACCAAAGCAGAAGTTCAAATAGAAAGCAGAGAAGAAGAAACAACATAAGTAAACAGCAGCATTAATTCAACGTACCTCAAGAGCATGCTTCACAACAGATGCTCCCCCGTACCTCAGAGCTTCCTCCCGCGCGTTGCGTTGATCCACTTCGGGGAAGGTGCTGTTGATAAACCACCTCACCCCCATCATGTTCTTCGCCTCGAACAGGCTGCTCTGAGTCACTGCAGGGGGAACAGGGCCCTTCCCCTTACCAGGAGCCCGTACCTCAGCCCCCTCCTCCAACCGTCTGAGCTCAGGGTTCAGCTCAATAGGAGGAGGCTGAGGTACGAACTCAGGCACCTCATCCCCCTGAACCTCCTCCACCACCTTCTTCTTCTTCTCCAATGCCCTCCTCTCCTCCCAACCTTTTCTCTTCAGCGGTGGCACCTCCTCCCCCGTCTCAACTGAAGTAGTAGCCACCACCTCCTTCCCAGTTATCCCCTCATCCACTTGTTTGGTCGAAGTCCTTGACTTCTTCCTTGGCTTCTTGGGGATAGCCTTTCCTCCAACTGTGCCCAGAAACTGGTTCATGTCAGCTACAAAGCAAAAAACACAATATTAGTCACAATTCTAAGTTCTACATTTAACACTACAGTCTATGTTAAACAAACCTTCACTCAGAGCGCTGGGCCCATAGAGCTCAGCAGCCTCTATGCATGCTGCGCTGGTGAGGTCCATGATGTTCAACACATCCCCCCTCTTCCTCACCAACCTCCCCACTTCCTCCTCCTCATCCTCAGTTAAACTAAACCTATTCTGGTTGGCCCTTTTGGCCTTCCAGGAAGCTAACGCCCTCACCTCGGCATCTCCCTTCCCCCACTCCGTATCATCTATAAAAAAGAATTTTTCCTTCCATCCCTTAATGGACGAAGGACCCGCTGTAAATAAAATCCTACCCTCCTTATTAGCTACCCTCGGGGTGAAATAATACCACCCCTTATCTCTCTTACTACTCCCCTTTAAAACAAAAAAGTATTTAAACATATTTACAGTTGGTACGCTAATTCCCTGAGCTCGGCAATAAACCAAAAAACCTATTATTACCCTCATTGCGTTGGGAACCAACTGTGTCAACCCTATGTTGTAATCTAACAACAAACCTATCAGCAACTCAGGAAGTGGAAACCTGAGTCCCGCCATCAAGTAGTGGGAGTACACAGGCATCCAGTGATCCCGAGGAGCAGAACATGCCCTCTCCTCTACCCCAGCTGGCCTAACTAACACCCGAGAAGAGATCTCGTACGTTTCAACTAAGTGACACAGGTCATCCCTGGTCCTTAGTTCA